CAAAACCTATAGCATTTGCTCATAAAAGGAGGAACTAATTGTCAAATTATGGGATGTTTGTCATTGCTGCAAAATAGATAGAGACTAGGTTTAATGGTACAATGAGGAAAAAAAAAATCTCTTTATCTCATGCCATATAGAAAAGGATAAAGTCATCGATAGCACTGAATATAGTGAAATATTTAATGTCATATTTAAATTTTAAAAATTTTTTATGTGATATTTTAATTATAAATCTGTTAATTAATATAGTACTTGAAAGACTATTTGTCAATCACGTATCATTATTTAGGGTTAATCACGTTAGGAGTGAATATCACATTAGTTAACAGATTTATAATTTAAGTATCATATTTGATGTTTTTAAAATTCAAATATTATATTAAATATTTCATTATAATTCAGATGCTATTAGTGACATTAATTCAATAAAAAACAAGTTCATATGTATTATCATTTATTTGACATTGGAAAAAAATTGTACCAGGGATCTTGATGAAGTGATTCGAAGGGCAAATACAACCCGGTATGGTTTAGCGGCAGGAGTTTTCACCAAAAATATTGACACTGCCAACACCTTGACAAGGGCGTTGAGGACTGGGACTGTATGGATAAATTGCTTTGATGTGTTTGATGCTGCAATTCCTTTTGGTGGATACAAAATGAGTGGCATTGGCAGGGAAAAAGGGATCTACAGTCTTCATAACTATTTACAGGTGAAGGCAGTTGTTACTCCTTTGAAGAATACGGCATGGTTGTAATTTTATCAGATATCCTACCTTTGATCCAACCTTACGTCTTTATAAAATCTTTGTTTTATTTGGAATACAATAACGGTAGCATGCTCAGTTTGTAATTATGCAATGGAAGGGAAATCATCATGTGGATCAAAATAATCATTGTCTTCTTCTTAACTGCTCAATGATTGTGCTGCATGTCTTGCCTTTTGTTGGTATTGGATACTATCAATGAATGGAACTATATATTTTCCTCGAGTTTTTTTTTTATCATATTATTGTGATTTAAGATCTTATTTCCTAAAGTCTTATAATTCTAAACTTATTTTTTAATATAATATATATATATATTTAAGAAAAACAATAGTAAATGTTTAGATTTGAATTTTAAATCTGTTTGTCACCTTTTAAATATATATGAACCAGGAGAACTAATTTTCTATCCAATATATAATACTTGTTGCTTAACTCGGGTTTTAATATATAACATTTATGTCAAAAAGGTCTTACATTAGTGGCAAGGAGATATTAAAATAGTGAGATTTTAGATTCAAGTTTCATTGTGCATAAATTTGATTCAATTTATATTGAATTTATCTAATTGTTTTTAGTTAATTGATTATTTAATCATTTTATATATATATATATATGAATACAATATTTGATTATGTTTATAATTTTTATTGTACTGATAATTTTAAATATATATAAAGAGTAGGATCTATTTACGATAGAGTAAGTATTATATATATATTACTTTTAGATCAAAATTAAATGCATAATATTTATATTAAATTATTTTTTTAATGGTTAAAAAAAAATTTACCTCAATATAATTGAATCCCTTCTTATATATATATATATATATGTATGTATAATATTTGTAACCTTGTCATCAACGTGTCAATCCTGTTGCCCTTGATCAAGCCTCCGTAGCAGTCAAAGTCTTTTGGGCTTGTGTTAATTAGTAGGGGTATTTATTCAGTTACTTTGGGTAATTTGAAATTGAATTATCTAAAATTAAATTAATTAAATTAAATTATTTTATTTTTGTTAAGTGAATCAAATTTATTAATTTTAAACATTAATTGATCAAATTTAATTTGATTTTTTCGATTAATTTTTTAAGTTAACTAAATAATTAATATATTTAAATTATATTATATTTTAAAATTTAAATTTCTCATATTTTAAATAAATTAAATAAAATTATCTAACAAAATATTCAAATATCAAAGTATTATATTAAAAAACTCTAACAATTTATGAAATAAAATAGTCAATTTAATATATTTTTTATTTTATATTTGGATTTTTTTTATATTTTGGTTAAATTTCAATTAATTTGGTTTTTGAATCAAATTAATCGAAAATTAAAATTTTTAAAAAAATTACTTTTATTAATCGATTGTAATTAATTTAATAACTGATCAATTAATTGAATTAAGTCGATTAAATCATTAATTCAATCAAAACTGAATTATAAACATTTCTATTAATTAATGTTTTGGGTAAGTTTTATTTCCAAAGCCCACTCTTAATCCATCACATAACAAACCCAATAGCTTTTCGAGACTTGGGTTGTATTGGTTTTACATTGATCTGGGATGAAATGGCTAATTTCATTAATCCATTCTCAAAGTTATTTTAATATTTATATATATTAATTCATAAATTGTTATGCTATTATAATATTAAATGTTTTTTCGTTAAAATAGTAAATTTTTTTTTAAATTTAGATAAACCCTTATATTTTTATTACATTTAAATTAAAATTTTAATATTTATTTTGCATCTGAATAAATTTTTAATTTCTAATTTGTATTCAAATAAGATTTTAAAATTTTAATTTATACCTAAATAAGTGTCAAACATAAATTATTCTTTCACTTAAAAAAAATTGGATACAAGTCAAAATATAAAAATTTATTTGGATATAATAAAATATAAAAATTTATTTTTTAATAAATAAAATAATTAAGAATTTTTTAATATTTTAACTGTCTGCTTAAAGAGCAAAGTGGTTTTCATTAATAAATGAAGTTGAATTACAAACTTCAAAAGAAGATTCCAAAACATAGATAATAATATGAACGAACCCAAAGAAGTCTAGAACCCCAATTCTCGTACCCCATAGGGGCAAGTGATTAACAAATAATTCCAGTCAAATGAGGCTAAAACAATCAGGTAATAAAAAGACGGCCTTCCAGACATTCCGTCAAACACCCTTCTCGCATGAAGTACAAGTCATTCAAGAAGCACCTGCCATTTGCAAACGTTTCTCATAATGTTTTCTTAAGTGTTTAAAAGAAAACACAAGGTTTAAAAATAATGTAATATGCATTTGTGAAGAAAAATGAAATTTGAAAATATGGAAAACAAATTTAGAATGAAATTAGGCAAGAGTAGTTGAATGCCCTTGTAAATCTCTTGTAGGATTTTGTCTAGAACAGTTGAATGCCTTGAGAGGCAAATGAATGGCCGATAAAATTTTACTTTCTATTTGAGATTTTAGCCGAGGCAAATAGAATGCCCTGAGAGGGAGCAACGACAAACCGTCCTTATAGCCTCTGGGAACTTTGGCCCCCAAAACTTGAAAGTTATTCTATAATATATATATTTATATATATATAAAAAATATCTTATTAATTATTTCATATATATTTAAATTAAATTGACTCTCACATTAAAATTGTTATTTTTAATTTAATTTTATACATTATAATTTAAGAGGAATTAAATTTATATTATTATTTGACTATTTATTTTTATATAAGGAATCATTATTCATAAACTTTAAAAATCATAGACTTATCATAAATATTAAATCATACAAATATAAATTTGAAAAAACAAAAAGCATATTACCTTTTTAACTTCCTCAATAAAATTTCAAGTTTTCAACCAAATATCAAGGGTATATATGGGTTTTTTAGTTGACTGTATTTACCTTCTTATATATTTGCGATTGTTTTAATTTTTTTTTTTCTGTTTAATATAACCTCAAATGAATTATATTAATTTTTTGAAGTTTTTATTTTTCTTGAAGTAACTATATTTCACATATATAAAATAACTATGAGTATAAAGGTCAGGCAATCTAAATATATGAAAAGAACTTTAAAAAAGAATATATTTATATTGAACATGTACTCGTTTTTTTATCTTTACATTTGAATCCAAGTGATATAACAAATGAAAATATATATAATTTGGGTTGATTCTCTTAAAATCAAATGGTAAAATCCAGCACCCAGAGATAAATCAACTTCTTTGCAAGATTTTACATTCTGTTTGAAAATTTATCTTAAGCATTGCAATGACTATCTTTCGTATTTTTCTTCCTCTAATTTTTCCCTTTCATCAAAGAACAATGAAAATGATTTCTTTCAACTTTTATGCTCACTTTTTTCATTCTCCCATTTGTTATCCTATCAAACAAAGCTTATTCATTAAAAATAAAAAGTCCACATTTAACCAAATGTTCTATATTATTTTAGTCCAAAAATTTATTATATATCGAGATTCATAAATTCTAATTGGTTACTCTCCATGTCGTTGCAACGGTTAAATTTTATTAAATAGATTTAAAAAACCGTTGGTTTAATTTAATTTTTAAATAGCTATGTTTTTTGACTTGTTTTAACATATGTTTAATTTTTTTAATTTTTAAAAATATAGATTGATGAATTTATATTTTATTATTTTGTAAAAATTATTTTAAACTATAATTCTTCCAAATAAAATATTTAAGTAAAGAGAAAAATAAAAAATGAAAAAATATAAATAAAAATGAAAAAAATACAATGCTTAAAAGATTTCATAATTTTTTTAATATGAATCTTTAAATATTGGATTCAATATATATATAAGAAAAGAGTTTAACTTATATAAGTATAAAATTAAAAGTCTTACATCTTATTTTTAATAATTAATTTTAATAGATCAAAAAGATAAAAAAGACAAATAAAAAAAATTTAATCTTATTTCTTAGATTTATTGAAATAAATTTATAAAAAGCTATAAAATTTTTAAATGTTATACTGATATAAATTGATCTTCGCTTATATTAAAATGTAAGGTAAAATAAACAAATTTAAAGTGGAAAATAGAAAAAAAATTATCTAAAAATTTCTTTAACTTTTTAGGTTGAAATTGGTTTTCGAATCTCTAAATACTTCTAAATCTAGATTTATCCAAACTGAAATTGGGCTGTAAAATGTGATTTTGGATTGGACTTTGGGAACAATCCCTTCTTTTCCTCTTTATTTTCTTTGTCTTTGTTTTTAAGCCTAAAACCCACACAATCAAAAACCCAAAACCCAACCTAAAAAGAAAGTCACTTAAACTCGTCCATGACCTAAAATTCCAGTAGTCAGGAGTCAATATATTTGTTAGATTGTGTTTTCTGGTTTCAGCTAAGAAGAAATGGCTACTGAACAACCAAAATCGGCAACCGAAGACGTTAAGATTGATTTGTTCGAAGATGACGATGAGTTTGAAGAATTTGAAATCGATGAAAGTAATTCTTATTTTCCTGTTTTATCTACATTTTTTTTAGAAATTTTAATGGAGGTTAGGGTTTAATTTTAGGTTATGTTAATTAATTAACTTTTATGAGTTTGAAGAATTTGAAACCGATGAAGGTAATTCTTTTTCCCTTTTTTTCTACTTTTTTTTAAATTTTCTTGGAGGTTAGGGTTTAATTGTAGGTTATGTTAATTAATTAACTATTATGAGTTTGAAGAATTTGATATCTTTGAAGGTAGCTTTTTTTATTTTGATTTTTTTTTTGATAAGCGAACGGTTCGTTTTATTAATTTTTGACTGTTCTGATTGGAATTAGATTTGGGAATTTTGAATTTTCTGAGCTGCTTATATTTAATAATAAGGGAGGAGAGTATATTCCGGTGATACTTGTTTAAGTTCAATAGGCCATTACTTCTGCTACAAACAGCATTTGGGGGTAATATGAATCTAATGTCATCAATGACTAGTTGCAAAATTGGCTGCAAATCCATTTATTTGTTACTATGTATCCTGGCGTTTGTTTATCTTGATATCTGATGCGTATAGGCGGCCTGGACTCATTTACTTGATGCTAGAGTATTAGGCAATATCTAGTATCCTGGTGTTTGTTTCTCTTGATATCTACCATTGGAGTGCTTGTTTATGCAATTAAACTCCCAACTTTATACCTGGATAACTGTATTAGGCAAGATCTGGTTTGAAATCTTGCGATAAATTCTTGTCGAGAACCTATGCAAATAAAACTGATTCTTGATTCATTGAACTCTTTTTGCAGTCATCAAGTTGTTTGCCTACTATTGTAGCTAATTTGTATCTTGATCACTAATGCAGCAAAAAAGACGATGCTTTGAGTGTAGAATGAGTAAATTATACTGCCATATATCTATTCATGGAATTAAAGTTTCTCTTAAGGTATGCTTTTTGCAGCAGAAAAGTGGAAGGATAGATAGGGGAGAGTGAAAAAGTGGAAAGAAAATGAATTTTTAGTGTGTTTGGTAGAAAAGAAAAGTGACAGGAAAGAAAATAGAGAACGTTATAATTTTTGCACTTATTCACAAATACAAATCATTCTAAATTCGAAAGATAAGAGGAGAGAAAACGAGAGAGCTGTAAGTGTTGTATATTTGCAAGATTGTTCATCATATTTAGAAATTTGTTTTTCATCTTAATTTAAAGAGGTTATAATAGTAAAATCATATATATATATATATTTTTTTTCAATTTGCAACTCTACCAAACAATGAATGGAAAGAAAATTACATTTTCTTTCAACTTTCTTATCTTTCCAACCTATCACACCAATGGAAAAAAATATATATTTTCCATCTATCCATTACTTTTCCTATTTTCTATACACCCTACCAAGCAAAGCCTTAACGTGTGCCACAATTTAGACTGAAAATTTTCTTATCAACTGAACTGACCTATTTTCATATATATGACCATGGCAGCCTTTGCAATTTGCAAGATTTGAGATGCCACCGTGTATCCCTATTATGCTTCCATGAGTCTGACTTTTAAGATTTGCTAATGATACAGAAGTATTTTTATTGGCTCCAACTATGTATAAAAACAAAACCTCTCCTGATTTCAAGAGTTTGCTCCTGCACCAAATCACAAACAGCCTTTAGTATTTTGAAACTCCCAAAGTCTAATGCAAGGAACCCACCATTGATTTCAATATTTATTGTTGTATACTGTTGCTTCAATGATGTTGTGTGATGCTAATTAATGTATATATATAAATATATATATATTTATTATGCATATCGCCCTAAGATTTTGGGGACATGATGCTTTCTGTTCATGTACTGTTGCTTGTTCTTTTGGAATGTATCATCTGTTTCTTTTCTGAATCTCCACTTGTTTCCTTCTGATAATGGTGCTTTGATCATTAAGGTTTTGCCTTCTGTTGCCATTCTTAGCTGATGGATCTGTGTTTCCTTTCAGTTATTTAAATAAAATCGTATAAACTTTTTTTTTTTTTTTGGTTTCTATGTAATGGGATATCTGAGAGTACTAAATTGCAATCTGAACATTTTTTCTTTTCTGGCAGAGTGGGAGGACAAGGAAGAAGGAAAGGAAGTGACACAGCAGTGGGAAGATGATTGGGATGATGATGATGTCAATGATGACTTCTCACTGCAACTGAGGAGGGAACTTGAGAATAACACTGAGAAGAGCTGAGCTGGACTTATGCATGCTCTGTTGTCTCTCATAATTCCTCTATGCATTGCACTCGGTGTTTGAATTGATTTCCTTTTGCGTGCAAAGAGAATGTATAACTCTTTATGGATATTTGGTAGAAACTTTAAATGCATGGTTCTCTGAAATATAGACATCAATTTAACTGCTCAAAATCCATGTGCATGTCTTGTTGAAGCTATTGTTTACTTGTTGATTATTTTAAAGCTTCATTTGCTGGTGACTTTCTCACTCTTTCATTGCCTTTTTCCATGTTTTGTTTCCCTTCCCAGTGTGCCATTCATCAATATTCAATTTTATAGCAGTACTTTGACTTGATCCAATTGTTTCAGTACAATCCTATTTTTGTTTTTGTTCAGAAATGATTAAATTATGAATATTGGTGTATTTAGTAGCAGATAAAGTGAATCAATAACTTAATCTGTAGCTACAATTATTCTTGGAAAGAGGTCTTAAATCTAAATCATCCTATACACAACTTCACAACCAAAAGATTTCTTTACTTGTTTAGTTATTCCCATACAATGAAATTAGGATAGATTAGTCATTGACTGAATAAACATTTTGAAGTATGGCAAAGGGAGCATGGAATCTGGTAATCTCCAGACTGCACCACCAATAACAAAAATATCAAATAGGTTATAGTGTGCCTACGCTTTTCCTAAGTACAATTGATTATTGTAAGACCATGTACAAGAAAAATGCTGCAGAATTTAGTCACGCATCTATATCCTTGGTTTAACAATGCAATGTAATCCTTCAAGTTTTCTTTGCCCTTGCTCAAAGGTGAAACTAAAGGGGCAGGCAGAGGTTATGGCTCTTAAAAATTTTTGATAATATTATAGCATAAAACTCGGTCCCATTAGTATAAAATTTGGTCATCTTTTCCAACTTGGTTCACCATTTTGAATTCTCTTCATGGTTTCGTTAGTTTTGCCTCTACCCTTGTTGCGGAGGTTTTGCACTTGTTTGTGGTTTTTATTAGGAGATTAATGTTGAAATTCCCTCCGAACTATCTAGGGTAAGATTTGTTTACCAACTAGCCCTGTCTTCGATGGAAAATGTAATTGTTGTAGAAATGCCTTTGGTCAAGACCTTCTTTGTTTTAATGTACTTTCTCCTGTCAGGGCAATAGCCCAGCAGGATGATACAGAGAAATCCTCTTTTTACAGCTAAAAGTTAAAAAGTCCTTTGAAATATCATTGAGCATTTTCGAAAAGTATTTTGCTTTCCTACGTGGGATTGTGAAGATTTTTTGCTTCCGTAGCGTAGAATAAAAGGTAATGTCTGATAGATATTTGGTGAAGATGTTTCAAATCCATGCGCTTTTTGGAGTTACAGCCTTCGCATGCTAACTTCCATTGTTCCCAACCATTTTCAAAGAACCTAGCTAAGATGTAATATTGAAGCGACCCAAACTAGTAAATGAAAGGAGAGAGAAGGCAAAAGTTAAAGGGATTTAAAGTGTACAAAAAATAAAAATGAAAACTATCGCCCAATAGCATGCCTAGTTACATTCATGCAAAGTGAAGCAAAACTCAACAAATTTTAAGAGCTAGATGATAACCCCCATTTTGCTTTCCATCTTGGCAAAACTAGGAGAGTAGATGCTTCACATGTCCCCAAGAAACCCCGCCTTTTAGAAACAAAAATGAACTCCAATTGGATTTTTTAGGGCTCATTTGAATTTCACCGCTACTCGATATAATAGAAGGATTTTGACCTCCATCGCATAGTGGGATGCATTTTGGTAGCACTCCAACGGTATAATTAGGATCAAAACCTAAACTGCTTCTCCCTTCTCCATAAGACAGTTAATTGATTTAGTGTAAAACTGAAAAAATAAAAGAATTTGGTAATTACATCGGTAGATTATTTTTGATGGAGCAGTAGACTATTATATCCAATTTCACTATTACGTTTGCATTTATATGTACATTTCACTGCTGATTTTAATTTTATCATTATAATATTTAATTTTATCACTACAATACTTATTACTAACACTATTATTTTCAATTGACCTGTCCATCCAAATCCGAATGAACCTTTTAACCTTTTACATCTAAATCCCAATCTCAGCAGCAGGCAGCATCCAATGCTGCCAACGTCAGACTTGCAGATTTCTGGCGTGCAGAACTGCAGATTCGCAACTATGAATTAGCAATGAATTATGATTTTAGAATGTTAAGATACTCCACTGACCATGTTTATAGTACTGATATTAACTGAATTATCATCCAAAAAGAACACCCTGACATGATCGGTTAAACAGGATCAATATACTAACTGATTTGATTTGTCGTAGAAGCAAACTCTTACCTGAAACCGTGTTTGAAATGTCAAAGAGAAAATATCTTTACAACCATGGCGAAAGTGAGCCACGGACAGCTCATTGAAAAAAACACAAAAAGAATACTGATTGGAACCCCATATCTGCATTGCAGAATGAATTGCTAGAGCTGAATTCAGTCCCAAAGAGGAGGGCCTTTCTCTACACCAGTTCAGCTCCATCATGGCTTGAAACACCTCTTTCCTCTCCAAAGATCATCCCAACTTTTGAAGGATCAGCGGAAGTTCGACAGATTGGACAAATGGGTGTCTTCAACAACCAGGAGTCTATGCATTGTGAATGGAAGCTGTGCTTGCAGTTCGGCAAAAATTTGCACTTATCACCATTCCCGAAATTCTCCAAGCAAACAACACAAACCACAGGGCTACTCCCTTTGTCAGCTAACATGTAGTCAAAGCTAGGTAGCATTTTCAGGTCCGCAGGTGACATTCTTTTGGTTCCATTGTTGCTTATTTGATCCATGCTGCCGTCCTCCTCATATCCTCTCCCGAAAGCCCTACCAACAATACAAATATGAATCACCACCAAAACTGCAATTCCAACAAATAAAAGTACAACGGAGAAGACAATTTCCATAACCGTAAGCAGTTGTACAATTTCCTGAAAGATTTCTTTACAAATCTCTCTCCTACTCATACCAATATGTTCCAACTTAATCATATCCCACTTTCATTTTGTTCTTTCGATGTCACAAAAGCTGAAAGCATGAGATGAAAAATCATTGATTTTTCTCAAAGTTCAGCACGTGCTGATCGGTTTTCCTGTTAGAGAGGTTGAAAGACTGATACTAGAAAAAAAAAAAGTTGAGAGACTCATAATTTACTTAATGATTACATGTGTGTTCAATGAGGCTGAGAGGTTTGGTGGGCTAAAATGACATTTTGTTAATTGCTAAGAAGTGTGAAGAAACTGTGATTTTATGTACTGTTAAATTTCACAGACCATCTGAAGCTGACCAATAATGCTGAATTTTTTAGAAAATTTGAAGGGAAATTTACAAATTGAACTTTGACAACTTGTTTGTTTCTGTAAATATTTCCTTCCATGAATTATTATTAATTTAAAATTTTAAAATTTTCATTCATCTATTGTTCCTTGTAGAAAAGATAAAGGCATGCGCAATCAGCTAATTAAAATCAACTTGTTGATCTATTTGGATTATCCAAGATTAAATCCTGTTAATCTTGTTTATTGAATATTTGTTACACAACTAGAATTTTTTTTATTTGGTGTAAGGGGATTTTGATTCTTTTTTTTTTAATAAAAAAACTGCAACCTAGATATGAGAGAAAGTGTGGCATGTATTAAAATATAAATCATAGACCTATTTGATAATATTTTTTTAAAAATGATTATATAAATTAATTAAGTCACACTTAGAGTTTTTTAATTTTAACTTTAGGGAGGATATATGCATAAATGTTTAGGTGTTAACGCACGTAGAATTTGCGCTAATAGTTTTATTAATTTAATTTTTAATTAATGTTCATCCATGATTACCTTTGTTATGGTCTCCACACCAGAAGCATTAAGCATTCAAAAACTTAATAAAAAAGATGATGTTGCTTTAAGATATAGTCACCGTCATTTTCAAATTCCAGCCCATAAGATTTATGATTGTGTACCAACACCTAGATGAAATTGAAAGATCCATGCCACCCATGAGAAAGACGGGTACCGGTATTTTCTTGCGCCTATTCTCCAACTCAATTGTCCAAACAACTAATAATGAGATGATTTCCCTGGCGGTTGGGGATTCAATTTGTTTTATTATTTTATTCATCAACCGTAGTTTCAAAACAATTTTTTATTTATGCGTTTTTAGTGGTTCATGTTGATTATAATATTAGTACTGAATTTTTTAATTTAATAATAACAATAATAATAATATGCTTTTCATTATTAATTCCTTTATATTAATTACAACTTAATTTTTTTATTTACAATTTTTATTGACTTATTATTTTTTGTGGAGAAGGAAATCTATACTATCTATGCTGTCTTGTGTACTATTTATTGAAAGCAATCACCATGGGATTTTGACTTGAAACGTGTCTTTTAAAATTTTTTTTTTTACTTTAGTTTTTTCTAAATAAAATTAAAAAAATTATACTTTTAGAACATATTTGATATACAAAAGTTTAATAAAATAAAATAAAATGATATTATGAATAAGATTAAATTAAATAATATTATTTTATTTTATGTTTGATATGTATAATAATTAAGATAAGATAATTTATTTATTGATCAAAATTATTTTTTTTTTAAAATTCATACAATTTAAATTATTAATATAATTTTTAAAGGTATAATATGATATATAAGTTTAATCCTATAGATTAAAATAATTATTTTTACTTTGAAAGTATTAAATTATCTTATATCAAAAGGATAATAATTCTTATTGTAATTTTATCTCTTTCAGTTAAATATAAATTAACTTTCAATTAGATATAAATTAAATATAATATAAAATAATTATTATACTATTTTATCTATCATCTTTTGCATCAAACATAAATTTATATATTAAAACTATCTTTTAAGCGATTTATTTGTTAATATGCTTTCAATATTAAATAACGACTATTTTATTTTTTTCATATTATATAATGATTCTTTTACCCTTTAATCAATGTAATTTAAAAAATAAATAATAAAAATTAAAAATATCATAAAATTAAAAAAAAAATCGACAATTTTTTTTAGATGAAACACATATCTTAATGTAATAATTTTTTTTGAATTCATAGGTTTTTTATTTATTGGTTCGGGTGATAGATTGAGTTTCAGATTAAATTAACATTTAATCAAAGAAATTTCATAGATTTTGATTAAAAATTAAAAAAATGAAAGAAGAGATATTGAAGAATCGAAAAAAGAGTTTTTTGGGGGGGTTTTTTTGTCATCCATCAATAACGAGGAATAACGATGAATATTGATTTAAAAAAAAAAAGAAAAAATCAATAATGACGAATAAGTCTAATACATATTTAAATCCAACAAATTTTTTTTGGGTAAGAAAGAATGGTAATACACCGCTTAAACAACACATGTTCAAATATCTAACCAAAGAGTGGGTGGAGAAAGGAGCTTCACAACACCAAATTAATTCTCCCTCATAAGCTACTTTGGCCAGAAAATCTGTATAAAAATTTACTTCCCTATAAACATGAGAAAAAGAGCAAACCCAGTCTCTTTTGCAAAAGTTGTTTACTTTCATATATCACTCGAAAGAGAAGATTTTTACCTTGATGAGGTTGCAAAATCTTCTGAATGGCTAAAAGAGAATCTGATTCGACCAAAATTTTGCTGTAACCATAATCCCATGTAAGTTGAAGACGAGTAAAAAGAGCATAAATTTTTGCTTTCGGTATAGATTCCTAACCAACCCTCCTTGCGAAGCCAAAGAACCAGTAACCATTACTATCTCTGCAAAGACCGCCTACAGCCAATGAACCAGGATTGGATCTTGCTGCCAAATCCACATTGAATTTAACAAAACCTTTGGAGTACAACTGTAAGCACTGTGTAAAAGTTGGCGAGGGGGAGCTACTAAAAGCTCTATTCTTGAGGGAATTCTTTAGATTAGCTACAATAGAGTTACACGCATAAGCAGGCCAAAGAAATCCCTCTAAATAACTCTATTTCGTAGCTTCCACATATACCAACAAGTGAAGCCAAAACAAAGATATCATGGAATAGTCCGATTTACAAAATTAATTTTCCTATCACTATAAAAAATATTGGTATCAATGATGAAAATTTATTGACGAAATTTTTTTGTCTCTAATTACTGACGAAATATCAATGAAAAATAAAAAAATTAAAAAATTTTGCCAACAGAATACCAATGGAAAAAATATGTTGATATTCTGTAGTTGAAATTGTTGTAGAAAAAGTTACGATTTGATGTGTTTTTTATCGATAAAAAATTTTGTCGCTAGTCCGTTGCTAAGAGTTTTATCGACAGTTTACTAATGAATTTTTTCCGTTGATAAAAAATTTTTGATTTAAATTTTTTTTAAATTAAATTGAAAAAGAAAATTTTTATTTAGTGATGGAATCCATTGGTAAAAGTAAAAAATAACAATGGATTCCATTGGTAATCTATTGCTAAAAGTTAAAAAAATTTTGAATTACCAATGGAAAATAAATTGGTAAAGGAAAGTTAAATATAAAATTCCCTTTCCCCTTTTTCTTTCTTCCTTGATTGAAAACCTAACTTTGTTTTCTCTCACCGTTCCTCTTTTTGCTTCTCACCACCTGCCGGTGCTGCCTTTTCCTTGTCACTGTTGACCTTTTAGCCCATGAGCCTATCACATTGAGCCTCTCTCCTCATTTTCTCCTTTCTTCTCCTCTCTCCACTCCTTGTTGATGGTTTGTGCTCATGCCCATTGCTCCTTCCTTTTAGGAGTACCATAAGTGTACGGGTTGCAAAGTAATAAAGATTGAACGTATTGCAAATTATCGTCTCTTTAAAAATTTTGAAAGTTTAGATTTAGAGGTAAGTACCAATTTTAACAGTTCAGATATATTTGGTCTTACTAAAATTATGAATTGATCTAATTAACCTAAATAAATTTAATAAAATTACTAAATAATTAAAACCTAAATTTAACTATAAATTATGGAGGTTAAAGATCTACTAGGAAAATTACTAACAAAAATGCAATTAACCTAAATAAATTTAATAAAAGGCAAGTTACTAAAAATGGAAATTGATAAAACCAAAAATTAAATTAAGCATAATTAAATGCATAAATTAAAATTGAAATTAAAGAATATAGGGATAAAAACAAAACTTGAATTCAGCAATAAAAATTGAAATTAACTTAACGAACCATAAAAAGCAAAATTTGCATTTTTAATTTAAAATTAATCTAAGTAAATTCCTAACCTAACTTAAGGTGCATGAAAAAATGTAAAACAAAAATTAAACATGAAATTAACATGGAAATGCATGGAATGATGTCTAAGAATACAAATTAAAGACTAACACAACACTAAACTAAAATGTTAATGCAAAGCCATCAATTTTCTTTGAGGCATTTTACCGAACACTTAATGTGCTACAACATATTCCTAAATTAACTTACCTAAATCTAAGGCATGGAACCAGAATTAAACCTAAGCTAATCTAAATAAAATTGAAATGGAAAATGCTAGGAACAACACCTAATTTAGACTGAAAATGGGGAAATTCATAGATTGAACTAAAATGCAACATATATAGCTTGGCTGAAACAAAATGTGATCTAAATGGATGCAAACACTAAAGTACCTTGAGTAAGCTAAAATGGAGTCAAAATAAGACCAAAAACCTATAGGAAGCTAATGTAAAAACTAAATCAAATTAAGTAGAAAAATACAATACAAAACCAAACTTAAAAATGCGTACTACATACAACCTATGGTATAAAATGCAACCTAAGGAATTTGCAAAAACTATTATAATACCTTAAAATAGACATAAAAACAAGCAAAGAAAAATGCAGGAAAGCTTTGCCAAAAACTGACCAAAAAATTAGCAAAACAATGTTCAAATTGAAAGTAAAATAAAGGCCTAAAGTGAAAATCTAATATGCTAAATGCTACAAAAAAAAAATGCACAAATGTAACATGAAATCTAAACCTAGAATCTTAAAATAGACATGAAATGAACAAAAAAAAAATGTAGGGGAACTTTGCCAAAATAGAACCGAAAATGGATGCAAAATAGTTTTGAAAACTAGTGAAAAACGCATGAAAATACATGGAATCCAAAACTACTTCTTAACCATTTCACCAAACATAAATCAACATATTTTTTGTCATGTTATCAAAGCAAAAACATCATAAAAACATGCACCAAAAACCATAAAGTAGAAAATAAAACAAAAAGAAAACTA